GTATTATAAGTTATAACACAGACGTGCTTTAGATAATTTAGAAATGTTATTATTTATTTTTTTAAGGTTTAAGTAGTTTAAGAATCTCAGTATATACGCGTGTAAAGTAAGTCTTCGGTTATGTTAGGTTATAAATATATAAATAAAATGTGTAGTCTATTTATCCAAACCCAAAGAATAATATTAATAATATAGGTGTACATATTTGAGAGTTTATGTACGTAATATTTATTCGGAAGGTACTCTGTGTTTAAATTGGTATACTTGAACAGAAATGCTTTAAAATTTAATAGGAGGTTCATTAAGAGTTTTAATTTGTGGAAAAATAAGAGAATTGAAATCAATTCGTATTTTACTTATAAGGGATTTTAATAACAAATTTTGACAAAAAAATTATGTGGGACAAATTTTCATTTTTGTTTTAATTATATATATTGCCTATTTAAGAACATTAGTGTAGTCAGATTTGGTGGACTGATTTAGTTTCCAAATAATTTTCTTTTTTTAAGTTCTGATATTATGCGGATATTACATATTATGTTAACTAGCTCTATATTGTCCTTCTTAAAGAATATTTGTCATAATCTAATGGTTATTTATGTCTATTATCATCCTAGGTGTTCCAAGACCTAATCAGTCTGACGACCAGTCTTTCCCTTTTTCCTAAACTAGGAATAGACAAATGCATTTTAGTTGTACCTAGAGACCCAAGCCATCTAATGATGGACTATTCCCTCGGACTATTTTCATCGAATACACCACGGTTTGTTTTGCAAACTTTTGTACCAGAAATATTGTTCCCACGTATTAAGTGTAGCTTATTTTCCAAACGGAAATTTTGTCTCCATGGCAGTAATTAGGGGAAGACATTTATTGATTTTTAAGCGGTTTTTGATAATATCTGGGAAAATGTGGGATAAAATATCGGAAAACGGAAAATGTACGAATGGTAGGATTTAGTAAAAATTATTATGGCCTTCTTTTTCTGTGTACACCTTTTCTAACAGCAAATTCGATCCGATTTAAAATAATAACACTTATTCCGAAAAGAAATCTAACTGGGAATAATTTAAACAATAGCACGAGGGCAATCATTATTAAACTATTAAAATCTACTAATCTACATATATATACGTATCTAATGTCTTTTTTTAAGAATAGTTTTTTTTTGCAAATTTTCGTGTATACCTAATATATACTCGGTGGCGCCGACGTGTTACCGCCGCGGTAACGTCTTGGCGATACCGGCTACATTATACAGGTATTATGGACGGAAACAGGATTATGGTCGGGCATTTTTGTTTTCTTATTCAGCATAACGAGATTCAAATAGTGTCAGGCAGGAACTACTGCGGCAACGGAAGAACTTCAATTGGGTATGCCGTTATTATTTCCGGCTGTACCGTATACTGTACTCATCGACGTTGAAATAGTTTTATATTTTATACACAGCGATTATAATAATTAGTACACAGGATGATTCAATAACCATGCTTACTCCATTTTTTCGGTTAAATTTTGAATATATTCAAATTCTGAATTTTGAAATTTTTAGGTGTAGTTAAAGTCGATATTTTCGAATACCCCTCCCATACCTAAACTAAAAAGTACCTCCCCAAACCGATTTTTTTGCAGAAAACGCTAAAATGTCGTTGTTTCTATAAAAAAAAACATAATTATAATGAAAAAAACTGTTTAGCTATGGTTATTATTTATTTTAAAGTACTTAAATGCCATGAAAATAACTATTGATGAACTGCGTGTGGTAGTTATACAGATTTTTCAATCCCGGTTTTTCGAGCGATCGAAGGACAAAACGTGTTTTTTTCTTTTTCAGAAGATAAAATTGTTTACATTGCATGTACGTATCTAGGTATACACGCGTAATATTTTTATTCCCCCCTTTTTTTTTTCTACTCCGCTAGCTGACGCCGACCTTTTTGATTTATACAGACGACTGCTACAGAGTATATGTAATAGAACGCGTTTAGTCTTAGATGGCCCTACCCTACGGGCGGACAGATTTATCTTATTATAACAAAGAAAAGCTATAGGCATCGTTAATATAACGTCGATAAAACCGCAGAGCTTGTGGTTTTTTTTCTTATATGTACAAGTACCCTACCCGCCGTCGACGAGACGTGATTGTAACAAATAAAATTCAGCGACGTCATTTATTCGGTTTTGCTATAGTCCGATAATTTAATATTTGGTTCGCCGGTATCATCGAAAAAAAAAATTGTACATATGATATTTATGTTGACAATGGACAAAATATAACACACGTATACATTTTCGGTTTTCTAGAAAACGTGTCCTAAATAATATGAAAATAATAAAACAATACGAGTTCAATACATATTATATTATTTTACTACGTATTATATTATAACCGTATTATGATAACAAATGCAAAACAGATTGTAATAGCTTTGCTTTTACCCAAATATGTTATTATAAAGGAAGTTCATTGGCGAGATATTCTACTTTTGGAGGGGAGAAGTGATACATAATAAAACTGGCTAGCGCCGTCTGCCACACACAATTTGTATCATTTTTCAGCACCATCACGTGCATATGGTGCAAAATATTTACATCAGTATCAATCCCCTCCCATTTTCCCCTAGAAAAAATGAACAGATAAATAATAATTGTAAAATGTCATTGATATCATAAATTCAATATAAAAATAGATTCTCACACGAATTTCCAAGGCATAATTCAGAAATAGGATAAATATTATGACATAGGTACATGCATTATTATGTTCAATATATTTTTTCCTAGTACGGTTTTTGGACAATTCGCCATCGTATTTTTTTATTTATTTTTTTCTGAGGCGGCGTTAAATATTATTCATATGTCGTATATCGTTTTTCCAATCTGAACAAATCCATACCGAGAGATTAAATAAAGATAATATAAAATTTTTTCAGGGATGGATTTCGTACGGACTGCTTACATTATTATTACACTGTCGAAACTGTTCACTCGCACGCATGCGCAAATCAATACGTGGCGGGTGCGCGCCGTCGCGCTGTCACGCTACCCGTGCATGCTATGAAAAGAGAACATCGCAACGTCGCACGATATTTTTATTTTCTCTGTTTATCTAACAGCGAGGCTATAATACTCGGTCGATGTGTGCGCGGCTGCAGCCCCCTTTCGAACGCGTTACCCGATTTCCGTGAGTCGTAAACTACAATGAAACATTTTAGACATCGGTCCGTAGGGTCGTAAATCTAACGGACTTCAATTGCGGTCAGTTTTTTTTTCCAAGTGGAAATACAAACAATAGTTTTTGACAACCAGCTGCCACCGCCGTGCCACTCTTCGAATTACAGCCGTCCCCCCCAACCGAGGCCAATTGTACGACGACCCTTCCATCCACTTACAGCTTCGCAGGACGACGAACACCCGGTGGTGGGGTACGAACGCTGTATCTGCTGTTTTCAACGTCCGCTCTGTA